TAGAGCAGTTATTATACCAAAATTGTAAAAAAAAAAATAATAAATATATATATATATATATATATATATATATATATATATATATATATATATATATATATATATATATTTAAAAAGAGGCGACCTTTAAGATAAAAAAGTATTTCGTCTGTCAATCTGCTCTATCCAAAACTCCTCAAATAGAAAATTTTTAGTTTCACATGGGTTAAATTTGTAAAAAGTCTTCTTTGGGGCTATCAGACTATAAAAATGATTAATCAAAAACAATAATCGACAGATTAATTGTTATTTGCAGTCCTAGTGATAATAATATCCATGGAAAAATCTCTCTTGATCATTAGTTTTATTTATGAAGCGATCAGAGCTGAAACAGGCTGACTAACACCAGGAATAGATAGAAAAAGAAACAAACAAACAAACTGACAAAGATAAACATGAAATTACATAAATAAATTAATTAAAACTCAATAGAAAAAAATAAAACGTTAAACGTCAATTTGCGCGTTTTTAAAGAATCCGATTTAATTTAAAACTTTAGAATACAGATTGTATTTCAGGTTGATGATGATTTATTTAAAACGCTTTTTCTTTTCTTTTTGCTCTCTAAATTTCCCTAAATTTAATTTCCAAACTAAAGTGAGTCAAAGTGAGGATGAGGAGATGAGTGACAGCAGCCTTCTTCAGCTGATCTCATTAAGAGCAATTAACGCCTTGAATGCTGCTCCTCTCAGCTCTGCCGGTTCTCTCTGCTGTCAGAACTGAACTCTGAAGCCGGACTCCGGATCCGGACGGTCGGATCGGACCGTGTTCTTACCTTGGGTCCCGCCGCGGTGGACTGCGCTCCCCCAGCGGGTTGCAGTGGTTCAGAAGCGGCGGAGCTCCGGGGTCAGCGCCGATGGAACGATGAGACGCTGCTACATCATCCGACGCTTCAGCCAATCACGGCGGTCACCTGTTCCAGGAGCGCCTTAGCCACGCCCCGTTTCCTAGGAAACCGGAGCAATGGGGTAGGGCCATATGAGAGACGAGCGGTCTCGCCACCGCTGTGACACGGAGGGGGACAGCCCAAACTTTACTGCTTTATGAACGTTTTAAACAGCAATGTTCTGTTTGGAACAGTTCTAAGAGGCTCTGGAACCTTTTGGGGGTTTAAAACCTGTATTAAAAACAACCTAATCTGCTAATGATGAGCTCTGCTTTATAAAATAACAGAGTTATTTATAAAATAAAGCTTGTTGGTAGGAAAATCCTGGTTTTAATGAGTCTGAACTTGAACGGACTCCTGATCCTGGTTCCAAAACCACACTGGCTTCAGTTTTGGTTAAAAGTATTTAAACCCGTTAACTTTAGTGAGATCCCCTTCACAATATAGACAGCTGATGATAGGGGGGGATTTACCATTAGGCAATACTAGGCAGTTGCCTAGGACCCCAAGTTCCTGGGGGCCCCAAACTCTGTTTACATGTATGGTTAATACAAATATTCCTTATTTGTGCACATTAATTATGTTTTTTTTTTTTTAATCCTTTGGGGCTAAAATGCCATCAGTACGCTTATAATCAATGTATCTCAGCCCCCCCCCCCTCTTCAGTGTCCACCATATTGGATCAGTCCATTTGCTGCACATGTTCTGAAAGCTCCAAACAGACAGCAGTGTTGCCAACTTACCGCTTTTGTCTCTATATTTAGCGACTTTTCAGACCCCTCTAACACTTTGATATCAAAAAAATTGTCTAGCGCCAAATTTGGTGACTTTTTTCTGCCACTGGAGATTTTGGCAACAACATCTAAAAGCAGCGAACTCTGCTCTCCAGAGCGAGTAGATTGGTAACCCCGCCTCCTGCTCTCCTCTATCT